GAATTAGAATAAGCAGCCACACATAAAACACACACAGTGATGCTGAAAGCAGCTAGCACTGCAACCCCGGGGTTTGCGTGGAGCAAACCCTGCAAGAGGAGACCCAAGAGCTTCTTCCATTTCCCAAACATTGTCCTCACCAGTGAGCAGCAACGCAGAGCTGCCAGCAAAACGCAGTCACTCTGCGCACACCATTACAGGAGACACTACAAAGTGGTTTTCTTAGAGACGATTGAAAAAAAAAAAGGTGCCAAAACCAACCAAAGCAAATCAAGAAAAAAAGAAATTCCCACAGAAAACACACCCACAAGCAGCCCAAAAGAACCCTCTTCCTGTGCTTGGCAGACACGCTCCCCATGCTCGCTGTGCTTCCAGACTGATTGTTTAATTTGGGCCAACAAATTTAAATAATATCCTCACTTGTCTCCTCCAGCATTAAAGCACAGGTTCAACACCAAAAAGCCTCTGCTATTGCTTTAAGCCAATATCATTTAAAATGCATCCTGGCATAGATGCCTGCTCTTACAAACCCGTGACCAGTTTAAAAGGAGAAAATTAAGTTCAATTTAAAAGCCAATGTGTGGAAACTGACTGACTCCGGTTTCCACCTTTCTGTAAAGAGGAAAGGGGATGTGTGGCCAGGAAGCAGTGGAAGGCAGCAAACTAGGGATTTTGCAACACACTACATTTATGACATAAGCCCCATTGATTGGCATTAAGGACAGACATACATACACCAAAATAAACACACAACCACCGGCAGAGAAAAAGAGGAGTGATGCCTGTCTAATAAAGACTGAAGTGTTTAACTGGAGTTTATTTAAGAGGTGCTCCAACAGGAGAGAACTTAACCTGCCATTATGCTGAACTAATGCCAAGTGCTTCTTTAAAAGCTCAACATTTGGAGAACAAAGGACTAAGAGCAGCCAACAGTACAGAGTCCCCAGAAGAAAGCCTATTAGTGAAGCCGCTCCATGACAAGCAGGAAGGCACAGCAGTGAAAACCCCACAAAGAGTGAACCAGGAAAATCCCCAAGTTTGTACCCAAAACTGCAGTTCAATAGGTATTTGCATCAGCACCATCATTAAAAGTCAGTCCTTGCAGTCAGGGTTTCATCAGCTCTTGCTCACCCCACAAATCAGGCTGGGAAATGGCTTGGGGGAGGAGAGCGAGAGACAGGGCCGGGAAAAGGGTGAAGAGACAGAGCAGGGATGGCTTTTGGGGCAGCAGCAGCAGCTTCAGTTCACACCAAACAAGAGGCTGAAATCACAGGGGACAAATTAAAGCACCAACTTACAAGATGCAACAAAACTGCTTTTCTAACCTGCAAGATTAAAACCATCTACTTAAAAACAGCCTGGAACCGGATGTGATCCTAACATTACTCATTTTAAAACTACTCCAGTATTACCTCATAAATGAAGATTGTTCATTCTCCAATTACGAAATTCTGACAGTCACCTGCTTCTTTATAAGAATATCACTTGGAAGTGACATTCTAGATATATTCTACATAACTCTAGTATATCATTATATAGCGTAAGTGACTTGTTTTACGAAATACAGTGTACTAGGATTTCATGAAGACCAAAAGAAAGTGAGCAAAACGTGAACCAAATTGATGAAGAGAAATCACTAGCTATTACTTGGCCAGTAGATTAATCCAGAACTAGACAGAAGAGCACATGAATGGATATGCAGCACAATTCCCTCAGCATACTTTGGGGATAGGACACAGGACTGATAATGTGAAGCTGTTTGATTGTAAAAGGCTCTTATGAGGCCAAAATTAAAAAAAAAGTGGAGGGGAAGGGACGGATGAAGTCTGTAGGTTGACAGGTAAAAAGGAATGCACGTTGGGGAAAAGCAAACACTTCCAGTGTTCAGTTATGTCCGACATAATCAAACATTTGACAGGGGATGACAGTCACAAACATTTGACATCTGTAACCACAACTAAGTGTCTATGGCACACAGTTCCCTTGTGGTTGGACTGGACACAGCAATCCCTACAACAAATCTATGTCCATTCAAATCAAGTCAAACACAACTACCCACCTCTGCAAGAGGAGGAAAATATGCAGTTTTATTAAGAGCCCGAGTGCTCTCCTGTGCAGCAACAGGCTGCTGTGCTGCACTGCACACGCTGCAGCTGTAACTGTCCCTGGCCACTCGCAGACATCTCCGTGATCAGAGGGCTGCTGCTACCTGCACGTCACGCACCCGCGCTCAGCAAGGGAGGGAAGGGGCTGCATGTCACAGCTCCACTGCCTAATGGTCATCAGTCACGGCCCTCCTGGCACGGCACAGAAAGCGGCAGCACTTTCGTATTTACGTCAGCCAGTTCTCGAGAGCAGAGGTGCGTTTGTCACTCAGAGAGCACACGAATAACCCACCGCCGGGCTCTTCGTTGGTCTGAGCCTCAAGGAACCGAACACGGCAGCAGCTTCTTGCTGAGACCGCTGCAACTGCCTGAGCGCACGGCAGGAAGCACTGGGCTCCTTTGAACAATGTTTAGGGATTAGTTTAATAAACCGTAACTAAGAACCTCATGACACATTCTGCAAAAATACACAGTCATTACCTTGCTTAGAGAGGAAGGTGGCTGATTAGTATCTCTCCACTAAAACTCTACACGCAGGTCCAAGTGGACACAGCACTTGTGCAAGTCAAGGCACAGACAGGTTAAGCATCTTGGCTAAGTCGTGCTGCTGTGAATGGTTGAATCGTTTGGGCCAAGTGGGCTGATTTGTGAACCAAGGTCTTAGCCTCAACCGCAAGGAGTGAGCAGAGCTGCCTGCAGAGCGAGTGCAAATCCCGCCCAAGGCAAGCGGCGGCTCTGTGTAGCGGGATGAGGAATTCCAGCTCCGTTAAGGACAATTCTGCTACAAAGAGAGAAAATTGAAACACGCCATTTACCCCGCTGGCTGAGTCCATTGTGCAGGGCATGCCAAGAGAAGCAGCAGTCTGTCGGCAAGGCTCTGGACCTGGCAAGCTTCTCCTGAAGCCCCAAAACATCCTCTTCTGCTGGCACAGCCGCATCCTCGCACGGGGCACTGCCAGCAGCTCCCCG